GTGAACCTCATGAAGTTCAATGGGGCCGAGTGCCAGGTGCTGTGCCTGGGTCAGGGAAATTCCAAGCACAAATTCAGGCTGGGCAGAGAATGGATGGAGACTAGCCCTAAGGAGAAAGACTTGGAGGTGTTCATGAATGAGAAGCTCATCATGACCTGGCAAAGTGCACTTGTGGTCCAGAAAGCCAGCTGCATCCTGGGCTTCACCAAGAGAAGTGTGGCCATCAGGTGGAGGGAGGGGATTCTACCCCTCTGGTCTGCTCTCGTGAGGCCCCACCTGCAGCGCTGTGTCCAGCTCTGGGGCCCCAGTGTAAGGAATCTAGAGAAGAACCATTAAATCACAGGCCTGGAGCACCCCTGCTGTGGAGACAGGCTGGGAGAGCTGGGGCTGTTCAGCATGGAGAAAAGAAAGCTCCATGGAGACCTCACAGCACCTTCCAGTACAAAAGGACCTAAAGAGGACTGGAGGGGGACTTTTTATAAGGACATGTACGACAGGACAAGGAGGAGTGGCCTTAAGGTGAAGTGCACAGTCCCTGTGTTCAATGCACAGTCCTTCATACTCTCGGCCTCACTGGGTACATTCTCTTGTGAAAGAAAGGCTCAAAGTTTGCAAGCTGCACTTGTCAGCTGCCAGCAGTGTAAACATTTAGTTGGAATCTGATAATGGTCTTACGAAGCTCGAGATAAGAGAGACTCAGACTCAAAGAATCAACATCTACTACTGTTGTAATCTGATAGAAAGAGTGCAGAGGCCGTGAGAGAGTTCAGGGGACTGTGCAACTGCCAGAGTCAGAAGGAAACTACTGATTTGAAGTTGCAGTTGAGCATTCCCCTGTTGCCATTTTTCCTGCCAGAGCTGTCTTTCCCATAGATTAGGGTCCCTTGATCTCTCAAGCCACAAGTTCAATCTTTGGCCAGGCAGTAGGTCAAACAGCACAAGAGTAGTGTATCTTTCTGCTGAGGATATTAAGCTTTAGGGCCCAGTTACTACAGCTACAACCTACAGTTTACAAGCCCTGGCATTCATTCTGTTTTTCATGTACCATTACTGGCTTTACTAATCGGCTGAATAGCAGAATTATGCACTCAACACACAAATGTATGCTAGTTTTGCATTTGGCATGTGTATCCTTGCCAAATATTTTTTGAGCTTTTTTAGTTTACCAGGGATTTATGTGTTTTAAGTAGGTAGAGTATATGTAGCTACCTGCAAGTGCTGCTAGCTTCAGCTGAACCTGACTCTTGTTTTCACTGTCAGAATGAGCAATTCTCACTACTCCTGAACTCAGCATGAGGCATATGCAGTAACTAATAATTTTCATGATAATTCCAAAAGTGATACTAATTTAAAGAAGTACTGTGTGTTCAGGAGTTTATGGTTTGGACCCTTTTTCTCACCTGCTATAAGAAAATGAGTCCTTTTACCCTGTAATCTTTTCATAGTGTTTTTTGCATAGTTTCTCTGAGTACTTTGGGTTGGTCTTGCCTCCTTTTAGCCTCAAACCTTTGATTAAATTTAGACTGAAGTATGTGTTTTCAAAATTGAGTAGAATAGTCAGCTATTATCAGCAATGCACTCGTAGAGTTAGCTGACACTGGTAATATCTTAGTTCTGGCTGGTAAAGCTACATGTAAAATAACAGGGTGGCTGATGGATGTGACCTTGACATTGCCAAGAAAGGACTCAGAGGAAGATGAGTCTTTCGGGCTGCTGATCATCTGAAGAGCTCTGAGGTCTCTCCTTGGGTGCGAAATGCGATGATCAGTAACAGCTAAGAGTAAGATGAGGTTTGTGTTGGAGCAGCTTCTTCCACCTTCTCACATATGTGACTTTGCGTTCCTGACAGTGCTTTATTTTGGATCTCACAGGTCGGGATCATTTTTCTCTGACTCCAGTTATTCTGAGGAGCATTTGTAAGACTTCATACTATACTTGGCTTTGTGTATATGTATGCATACAACAAAACCTCATCTCGCTTCTGTTTCACCTGGGTGAATGGTAGTTACTCAGCCTTCACATGCTGATTTTCTTCCAAGGAGTTTGCAGGTGAGATAAGTCAGGGATACTTTTTCAACCTGTTAGCAAGCCAATACAAAATGTTTGTATATAAAACAGGTATGATCCCAGGGGGACAACAAAAATTCTTGTGTAGTAATGTCACTCTTTTCACCGGCCTCCACAGCTGATTCATAGAATAAAATACAACACAACAATTTGGGTTGGAAGGGTCCTGCAAATACCATCTAGTCCTCTCACCCCTGCAGGGACATTTTCAACTGGACCAGCTGGCTCAGAGCCCTGTCCAACATGACCGTGAATGTTTCCAGGGATGGGACATCCACCACCTCCCTGGGAAACTTGTGCTAGTTACTCACCACCCTCACTGTTGTTTCACTGTAAAAAAAGATTCTTTATATCTAGTCTGAATCTACCCTCTTTTAGTTTAAAACCATGACTTGACCTATTGCAACAGACCCTACTAAAAAGTCTGTCCCCATCTGTATTGGGTTTGTGTGGCGATGTTTTCATGGTGAGTGGCTACAGTGGTGGCTTCTGTGAGGAGCCCTGGAAGCTCCCCCTGTGTCTGACAGAGCCAATGCAAACCAGCTGAGATGGCTGCTGGACAAGGCTGAGCCCAATCACTGGTGGTTGCAGTACCTCTGGGAGAACAGATTTTAGAAAGGGAGGAAGTTACTGTGCAGAAGCAATTAGAGCCAGACTACAGAGGACTGAAAAATGTGTGAGAGGAACAGCCCTGCAGACCCCAAGGTTAGTGCAGAAGGAGGGGAAGGAGGTGTTCCAAGTGTCAGAGCAGAGATTCCCCTGGAGCCCATGGGGCAGGCCATGGTGAGCACCATGGCTGCAGAGAGCAGTATTCAGAAGAAGTCTCACCTGGTCTGTAGCTGTTACCCCAGAGCAGGACACAAATGCTGCCCTGTAGAGGTTTGCTCTGTCTAGAAGTTTAGGACACTCTCTGAGCTCCCAGGTGACACTGGCTATTTTTCTGTTAGGGAGTGCAGAATAATTCAAGTGCCTAAAGTTAGGTGCTTATCGCACTTTAGATACCCTAGGATAGCTGGCCTGATCCCAGGATGACCCTTGTGTTGCATGGAGAAACCCCATGGCACAAAGGAGTTGCGAGTAAAGAAGGTTAGGCTGAAAAAAATGGTTGCAATGTGGGAGAAGATGTCTTAATTTTTGGCTTTGTTTCTGACTAGCCAAGTCTCTTTTAATTTGTAATAAATTACTTTTCCCTGAGTGGAATCTGTTTTGCTAATGATGGTAATCATCAAGGTCAAGTGATTTGTGTTCATTTCAACCCATGAGCTTTTTCATTTTACTTCCTGCCCCAGTCTTGTTGAGGAGGGCATGTGATTGAAGACAGATTTATACTGTATGTTATACTTGCATTTAATTGTAACATAATATACTCCACCTGTGGCTAATCCATGGCATGTAAGAACATGTCACAACTAATAACTAATAGTGATAGGGGTGTATTTTAAGTGGTAGAAGCCATTTGGCTGCTGCTTGTTGTTCAGTCTCAGCATTGCTAATGACCTTGTCACTTTAAAAAGACATTCACATAGAAATAAATGCATTTCATACATTCTCACTGTTGCTATTCTTACCTTCTTCCTCCACTGATGTTATTATCATGTGAGGTCTAATTTTGATAGCAATCTCCAAAAGCACTTGTCACTTTACTGTCTATTATGTGCCAGTCCTACACCTGTGGTGCTATATAAATGTTAATAATACATCAATATGCTCATTCTTTGTGAGTTCTGTAGGTGGAATTCCATCTGGTTTGTATATGTCAATTCAGATGCTGGTGTGAAATGTCATTGCTGTTCAGAATTTGTGATGGTTTATGAGCAGTTGGGAAATGACAGGGAAAAAATCACAGGACTGGACCTGCTTATCATTTGAACAAAGCCATCCAGCCCTGTGCTTAAGACAGTGGCTGTGACTGGTGTGGAATACCCAAGTGGTGTAATTTTTCTCTGAAAAGCCCTAGTTTAAGTAATCAGGACATTAACTAGTCTTTCCTGCTTTTTCTGAGTATTTTCAGCTCATCATTATGTATTTAAGAAAGTTTTGATACTCAAAGTACTGACATTTCTTTCACAAACAATATTTTACTTCGGGCTTTGGGAATGAGTCGTAGGAATTTGGAATAATGCCCAGGCTCCCAGAAAAGCTTTCCTGCCCTCAGCCATATAACTGGTCTCAAATGGACAGGTCCTCAGCTCCAGAAAGATCAGTCTTGGATTCCATGTAGCCATGAAGGAAGTGATGTGCAAGGTCAGTGAGTTTATGCAAAATGTGATGGTTCTGTGAGAATATCTTTTGACTATTCCTTGGGCTGCAGTTGTTTCCTTCCCCATGAGATACTGATGGATTTGACTAAATTAGACAAGGAAAACTTCATCTTAAGAAGTTTGTAATCTTAAGTGCAAGTAGTTAGAGAATATTGGAAATAAATTTGCGACTTTTCCTAGATTCAAATTGGATGATGTCTGGCCAATCTAAATTATATTCTCAGCTGCTCTAAGTATACATTGCTTGCTAAGGATTAATGTTACCATAGATTAAAAAGGGAAGAAATTCAGCATTTTGTTGGTAAAGAGGAAATAATTTTTCCCTTAATTTCATCTCTCGGCCACTTCTGCTGGAACAAGTTGTGAACAAGCCTAAATCAGGAACTTTCAAAAGCAAAAAGTCCTGGTAATTAGTAGAAATTAGGATTTTAAATACCACATGTACATTGGTGCACAGCCTGGATACATATTTGTTGAGAGATACACACCCAGCTACACAGGGGCTGTCTGGTGGAAATGGAAGAGTTTAATTGCATCTGGAAAACCATTTCATCACCATCACCCAGGGATTAAGACTGCTTACTTAGGCAGCATGAGAACTGAGAAGCAAAGAAGGCAGGGACAGCCCTGGGGCTGCGGGTGGAAGGAGGAGGAGGAGAAGGAGGAGGAAGGCAGAGCTTGCCAGCCCCCAGAGCCTGCCAAGCTGCCGGGCAGTGCTGACCGAATGGCCGGGAGCAGGAGCAAGGCCGCCCTCCGTGCGTGGCTCCTGTGCCCCGGGCTGCTCGGCTGCTTCTTGCTGGGCTTTCTTACAGGTGAGTGCGGAGACCCAGGGCTCAGCCCCAGCTTCCTTCCCCTGCACACACTTGTGTGCTGCCCCTGTTGTGATTAACTCACCAGCAGGGAGATTATAGTACTCTTTAGGGGCATGGTGGAGTATCCGTCCCGCTGCTTTTCTAAGCTTTTCTGTCTAGCAGTTTCAGTCTTCAGGGAGCGAGGAACAGAATGGCTCTGTGCTTCAGCTCGGGATAAGCCCTGGAGAGCTGACAGCTTCCCAAAAGAGGCAGCCTGGCATTCAAAGAGAAAAGATTAATATGAGAGTTTGAGACTCCAGCGACTGCAAGATCTCCCTGATTTTTTTTTTTAATTTTTATTTCCTGTTTTTTACTGAAGATATTTTTAAATGCTCCTATTCTGTTGCTATTTTAGAAATTAAGGGTAGAATGTAGAGGAGGAGTTTGACTGACAGCCAAGTTACTGAAGTTTTCATTATGCACATTGAACTTCATTAGAGATTCTTTTCTGAAGTCACTTGCAGCATTTGATTTCAAATTAAAATTGCATGTCCTTTTTGAATTTGTGTTGTAACACAAACCTAACACTAAAGCATGAAAGAAAATCCATGAGGGTTATTAAATATATAAAATATTAGTTTAATTTTGGGGATCCCTGAGCTGCTAATTTCTGGTGCTCGTGCTATGCTTATACATTTCCCTGAACATCATCTTTTGGCCCAGCTCCAAAGCAGGATACTGGGCAAGACGGACTTTTAGTCTGATCAAGCATCACTGTTCAGTTCAGAGAGTTGCTACAATTGTATTTAAGTGTAAGAGGTCATATATACTGTGCAAGTGACAGCACATGTGCTTGTCTCATGAAAATCTTCCCACTTTGGGATTGTCTAGCTATAATAATAAAAGGATTTTGTTGTTGTTGTTGTTGTTGTTTTTCTTAAGAAAAACTCATATAGTTGATATACCCTCTCCTTCTACTATTTATGGCCACTGAATAAACATTTTAAAACTGGCTTGGGTGACAGTTAACTTTATTAATTTAGCTATTAAATAGACCAACCCCACCCTTCCCCAAGTCTGTAACTATTACAATGCTGGCAGGGTGGCTGTTGAGTCCTAGACCTTCACTTTAAATATGCTTACACATCTGTTTAAAAATATATGCATAAGGTAAATAAAGTAATTTCATCATGAGTATCAGGAGTTTGAACCTCACACTACAAACAGTTAACTGAGATTTTAAACTATAGTTTAAAATTAATGAGAGAGGAGTCTACCTTAAAAAGGGGATTTACCAGGGATTTAGGGTTTACTCTTTTAATTATGACACTTTTAGGCATTTCAGTCAATGAAATATATTTTACTTTTAGACAAGTTTTTATATTTTTTTATATTTTACTTTGCTATTTTACTTTTAGGGCCCTAAGACACTGGCAGAGGGTGCTCTAAGCCCTGTTCCTCCTTGGTGGTTTTAACTGTTTAGTACCACAGGTTGCACCTGTGCTCAAACGTGTGAGGCCATTCTTGCTAAGTAGGAAACTTCTCAAATGTGTTTCAGGATGGTTTACAAAACTGACTGAGAAAAACCCCAACTCTTCAGATGTGCATCAAAATGTGAGACAGAAACTTGTGGCTGAAATGAAAGCAGAGAACATCAGGAAATTTCTTCGGTAAGCCTTGTGCATGATTTTTTGAACAATTTTATCAGTCAAAAAAGCCAGAAAGTGGTAACATCAGCTCCAAGGAAGGGCCTCTGAAAGCAGAGCTTTTAAGATGCTTTGGAAGTATTTAGTTTGTTTGAAAGACTGAGGGAAGAAGGGAAAAGCTTACAACTCTTCTGTTCCCCCACTCCCCATTTTTGAAGTTGCCTGTTTGAGGTGGTTGTGCTGTCCAGTGTGCTTCCTCCAGTTGCATTAATGCCAGTGCTTACCAGTCTTCATGATTTCCCATCTTTATGATTTAATGAAGTGTGCCTTTTTTTTATCTTCACTGAAAGCATCTGAAGCTCTAAACTCAGATAACTGTTTTCTTTCAGACTGAGACGATTTTACTCTGAGATACGATGATTGACATGAATTATATCTGACTGATCATCTGTTCTGTGTCTCTTTAAACTTTCAGTTTGAGCAGCTAGTCTAAGTAGAAAATTAATCTATTAAAAACTAATGCTACAAATTTGCATGGCACTGAGTTGTATGTATACTTGCAACTTAAAATTCCTTTAGTGTGGCCATACTGGATAATGTGCTGTTAATTGGGAGCTCTGACATCCCATTGTACCCCACCTTCTGAGATAAAGGGCTCTGTCCATGATCTGTGTGAGTGTATGGTTAGTTAAGGCTTCCATTATGTTAGTTAGTATACTTCTTTACATCATAGTGCATCCATGCAGTTCTTTAAAAACATCTAAAATATTAGGGATATAAAACTACCTTTTTTCCCCCATTCCATGAAAATGAAAAAAACCCACATTATTTGGTATATTTATATGTTCTATAGAGGAACAAATATATTCACATGAAAAGTAAATAAATACTCACTCTGGTTAGTCAAATGTTCGTATTCAGCATGTAAGTCAGCAGTTGCATCAAGGACATCAAAGGATTACTGATAGATTTGATTTCTATGCATTTGTTCTAAACCCAAAAGGTTTCATACCTAACATCAATAAGCTTAAGTCTACAGGCCTAATCTTATTTTGTATTCACTACTTTCAGTAGATTGGAGAGTTCCTGAAAATTATGTTTGAGTGAGAGTCTAGGCAGCATAGCTCTGTAATTAGATGTAATTAGGCCAAAGTCTCTTGGCTGTGGGATATTAATGGTTTCTTTGTCTGCTTAATTAATGGTTAATTTGTCTGCTTGCTTTGGTGATGGGCCAAATGCTTCATGCTGGTTGTGGATTTTTTTTGCCTAAATTCAAATAAAAATCAGGAAATGGGGAAAAAAAAAACCTTAAAAGTCTCAGAAAATGCAGACGCTTTGGTCTTAGCAATTTACCACAGCTCTGGAAAGGATTGAACTGCTTGCAAGGGAAAATTTGGGAAAAAAAATTCATATGTGTTTTTCCTGATGGCATATGTAGTATTCAGTATACTTAAAGAATTGAAAGGCACTTAAAATACCAGTGGGAATTAAAGTGTAAGGGGCAAACAAGCAACAGAGTTTGGCAAAGGTTGCTTCCAGACTTTGGTGCATACCCTCACAGTTTAAAGAAAAGGAACTACAACAGCAGAGGGCAAAAGGTTGTGGTCTACTTACAGAATCTGGATGGATTCAAATCCTGGGGCCAGGAAAGACCTTTATGTTATGATTGCAGTGTTGCTGTAGATGAGAAATTCTGATGATTGCAAGAGGCCCCATGTGGCTGAAAAAGGCTGATTCTCTGCCCTGCTTTTAATAATGACAGCCTGGAGAGACTCTGAGCTGGTCAGCTTTAGGTCTGGAAGGGTGACAAAACATCCTTCTGGAATCTGTTTTCAAACAGTCAAAGGACAGAAATATAGTTTGGAAGAGTCAGTTTTTATTTACTATTTGTTTGTATGGTCAGCATATTGCCCTCTGTAAGGAAATGACTGGCTATGTGCATGAGTGGAGACATTATAGTGGCTGTGACAACCTTGACTTTAACAAGGCTTTGGCCATCATTCTCCTTTGGAAGCTGAGGAAGTGCACACCGCAGAACAAGGGTTGAAAACAGTCTGAAACAGCAGGCTGAAGTGATATTAATCATGGTATTTGCTACCACTAATTAATGGTAATTGCTGGTATCTGACATCTGTGGGGCAGCTATTGACAAGTAGCCTGCTGGGAATTGGAAGCTGATGCAGAGTACCTGGATGACTGATGAGCTTTCACCATTCCTTACTTATTCTCTGGGCCAAGTAAATGGCACACAGATTTCTCTGGGGTAGCCCAGAGGGACTGGATTCTGTTTGTGACTATTTATCAACATTGTGTTATATATCAACATGTATTATATCTGATATGGAAGTAAATGTTGTTAAGAAGGTTTTGTTATTCAGGCTTTTGATTAAGAAAAAAGAGCAAACCTATGCAGATAATTTAATGCAGTGATTTTCAAGTTAAACTTATTAAGACAAGCTGTGACAACAGTACAAATCCATGATCAGATACCAGAATTATCTGCAAGGCTCCTTACTGAATGAGTAGCTTTCCTACCTTTATTTCTGCTTTTTGCATACTGCTAATATTCTTTTGCTCAATCTTTGACATTGATTTTCATTGCTTGTGTGTAGATGTGGCTATTCCTGTTATGCAAAGAAAAAGGTTCAGTTGATTTATCTTAAGGCCTCAGGAAAGATCCTCTGCTCTGGGTATATTTTGTCATGTCCTCATACAGAATCTGATAAGCAATCATGTTTTACAGCTCAAGCTTTAAGACCTTACTGTCCATGCAGTGTGTCTTGAAGATTATCTTTATACACACTGATCCTATTTCAGTATTGTATCTCTCTGCATTTGCTGCTTACCAGTGGTTTTCTGTTTTGTTCTAGTTCATTTACCAAGTTGCCTCACCTCGCAGGAACTGAACAGAATCTTCTTCTTGCCAAAAAAATTCAAGCCCAGTGGAAGGAATTTGGATTAGATTCAGCAGAACTTGTTAATTATGATGTGCTTCTTTCATACCCAAATGAAGAGCAGCCAAACTACATTTCACTAATTGATGATCAAGGGAATGAGGTGATCTTTTCAATGACAAAATTATGTTACTGTAAAACCTAAAAAACCTCCAAGTGATTTCCTATTAAAAAAGTGTCATCCTCTGTATTCTCACCTACTCAGCTCAGCATATGCTTTATATTATTAAAAAATAATCCAGTGCAAAGGGAATTCATATTTAGAAATGGTTTTCCAGGCTATGGCTGAGATCTGAGTGCCTCATACGGAAGAGTGAGGATGTGTGGAGAGGCTGCAGTTAACACCAGTAGACCATAAGGTGTTAGAAGGGTTCAGCTTAAGGATACATCTAGGCTAATATCCTGTTTCCATAAACAGCTTTAAGTGGATGCACAGGGACTTTTAATAACAAAGAAATGTATTTCAGGCATGCAGTTCTTCCAGTGTCTAGCTGTTTTCAGCTCAGGGCTTCTCTGAATGTGCTGCAATTAGTCTCTTGAAAAATCTTCATTAGACCTTTTCCAAGGATTTATCCAGTCAGTGACCCTCATTACATCTCTCTTCCAAGTATCTATCCAAACCCTGCTTGAACATCTGTACAATATTTTTTTCCACTACAGGAAAGGTAAGGAATTGCAAAGATACTATCAATTTAATGCTTCCCTTGCCTTGTTTCCCTTGCTCTGAACCTGATCCCACTGGCTTCCTATGGTGTCTCCTAAGTTAGTGTTGGAAGTACTAATGAACTAGTCAGTCTGTAGACATCTTCTCCCTTTTGAATACCTGGGGAAATAAAGAAGTAGATTAAATTCTGACAAGGATCCTGAGCAAGGAGAGGACTTGCTAGAGGTGGGACTGCTAGAGCAGCATCATAGCACATAGGTAAGGATGAAGAGCCAGGGTAGAAAGTAAGGAATGTGTGCTCAGGGATAACACAAGCTTAGAGGTGAAAGAATGAAGGACTTCTTCCAGAAACCCTGTAACAGTGTCTCAGCTACAGTCTCACAAAATGCCAAAAGGTGGACATGCACCTTAAAGCAATGTGTGTTACAATGCATAGTGATGAAAGGCAGCATGTTTAACTGGAGTATTACCAGACAAGAGATAAAGAGCATAATAATGCAGATGGGAGAAACTACAAAAGACACCTGGAATGGCATGGATGAACCAGATGTCTTTTCCTGTCGACACCTCTTGGCAATTTTCAGCTACTTTTTTCCTTAGGTTCAGGCAGTGACTGATGAGCATCTTCTGATGTGATTTGTTTCTTTGTATTCATATCTGCATTCTATTACAAAATTTCAGCTCTGGATCCCTACCTGTGTTTATGTTTGAACTTATGTGTACTAGTTAGAACTGTATATTTTGCTATCAGTTAATGGAAACAATAATTTAAATTTCTGACAAAGCTAACTTGGCAAAAGCCAACGCTTTTAATACTTTTCATCCATAGGACTGCAGTATTTTGAAATAGTAATTATTTGACAAGGAGTCTGGTGCACAGAAACTGAATTGCTGTCTCCTGACTTTAGTTTAAACTATAATTAACATTTTATTACTGTGTGAATTTGTGACTAGAATGTTTGACCAAAAGCTACTATTATTTTTTTGATAGGTTTTCAATACATCATTGTTTGAACCTCCTCCCCAGGGCTATGAAAATGTTACTGATGTACTACCACCATATAATGCTTTTTCAGCACAAGGAGTGCCAGAGGTAAGAAAATAAATTATGTAATGGTACTATTACCTATTTTTTGAAACACTTTCTGGGACAGATTGCTCCAACTTCTCAAAATATTTGTTGCAGTAGTTTTAATTACCATTTTTCTTAATTAAAAAACACGTAGGCACAGATAGGGCTCATATTATGCAAAGGTTAGGAGTCTTTTATGACTAAATAAAGAGCTTTCCCAAATTGCTAGAGCTCTGAATCACTTAATAAGTGAAAAGTTTTTATTTTGTTGGAAAATTTTGGATACATCTCAGATTGCTCCATGTTATTCAGTCATATGTAGAGGACTAGCTTAAGGCACAGGTAGAAGTAGTATTTAGTAGAATAACACTATTATTATAGTTATATAAGTTGGAAGACATTTTAGATTAAATGAATGCCTTCAAAGACCACAAAAGTTCCTCACTTAATCTGGTAATTCATTATGGAACAGGTCAGGGACAACACCACATTGCATAAATGAGTGAAATGTTATAGTAGTGAGTGTTTGTGTATATAAGGCATACCACTGCTTTGTCACAGCTAGAGACGTTTATCAGTTTACCAAAGTACTCTGGTTTATTTTCCAACCTGTTTTTAGGACTGTTAAGTGTAGGATAATAGCCAATCAGAATTTTGAATCAAAGCTTCCTATAGAACATTGTGGATATTTTTTGCTATTGTTTTTATGGGCACTGGATCTCATTTGTAGAAATGAAAAAAAAAAAAAATTGAAATCCTCTGTCGTACATAATGAATGAAACTTTATTTCTGATAATGGGTATTTTGTTTGTTGACCGACCAGTTGCCACACCACTGCTTTTCTTTTCTGCCCAGGGAGATCTGGTGTATGTGAATTATGGCCGTACAGAAGATTTTTTTAAGCTGGAGCGTGAAATGGGAATTAACTGTACAGGAAAGATTGTCATTGCCAGATATGGGAAGATCTTCAGAGGAAACAAAGTAAGGGTTGTGTTTTAATTTTTCTTCTGTGGGTCAGACACTGTTGATGGCAGAGCTTGAGGGAATTAATAAGGGCTGTTCGTTGGAACATATGAGCAGAAGGAAGCCTGTGACTGCAGTCTAAGAATAACTTTCAAAACAATAAAACCAGATGAATGTATTAAACCCCTGAGACAGAGATGACTGCAAACTCCCTAGGCAGTTCTTGAAAGAGAATAGTTCAGGGAACTGAGTATTTTGTAGAGCCAAGTCTTCTGATATGTGCCATCCATAGAACCGTGGTACTTTGAAATAGTAGCACTTTGACAAGGAGTCTGATGCACAGAAACTGAGTAACTATCTCTTCTGATTTTAGACAATAAATCTGGCAAAATTTGTGATAGTGGGGCAGTGGGGATGGTGTTCAGGTTTTGTGCCTCATTTTTATGTTCTGTTCTTCATTTCATAGCCTTGAGCTATGACTAAAAGTTTGACACAAATAATGAACATACTGTGTTTCACTATGCTTGCTTCTTCTGCTGAATCAGGGGTAATTTTAAACTCTTTCACATACTTGTCTTCTAAAAACATGTGTGCATGGAAGCAAATCTCAATGTTCAGATTAATTGCTGCATTAAAAAAAAAAAAAAGCCTCATCTTAAAGCCAAATAATTTCACAGGTTAAAAATGCCATATTAGCAGGAGCCCAAGGGATCATACTTTACTCAGACCCTGCTGACTACTGTGCCCCAGGAGTAGATGCTTATCCAGGAGGCTGGAACCTTCCAGGTGGAGGAGTCCAGCGTGGGAATGTTTTGAATTTGAATGGAGCTGGGGACCCTCTAACACCAGGTTATCCTGCAAAAGGTGAGTGCAAGTTCTGTAGCCTGGGCCATCAAGTTCTTCATAAACTGCTGCTGAAAGTGAGGCACTAGAAGTTAATTTATTTTCAGTACAGAGGCACAGAAAAAAGCTGCTTGAAATTCTTAATGACAATAGTTAATTTTCTATTGCACACTAACTGTGGTCTTTTCAGCTTCCCAGGAGAAGAAATCCTGGCAAAGGGATTTTTCAGAAAATATGACAGTGACACACTAAGTTCTGTCTGTGTCATTCTAACTGCTTTCAGTTAGGCAGTGGAATAAAGTTTCCAGGAAACTCTTTGTATGGTCCCACCCTTGTGACACTTAAAAAAGTAGGACATGTAGGTTTACAGACTGTGAAGCAGCAGAAAATGGCTGAGAATTTACAGCCTTTTTAAAATATCTGTGTTTCTCGAGAGGAGCATTTTAAACAAGGTTATACTTTGCCAACAAAGAGGACTAATAGCTTTACTTGGAGGTATGTTTCCTTGCTGATCATAACTTCCAGGCAGAAAAAACAGTTTAAAATCCTTTTTAAGTGGAATAAAATTCCTATAGCAAAAATAAGAGCAGCTTGGAGTCTTTCAAAAGTTGGCATCATGTGCTTCTCTTGTCCTTGTTGGCATCCTAAACTTGGTCTGGACTAAGATGCCTGCCAGTGCTGGGTGCTGATGGGATGGCTGTACAGGGATGCTTCTGGAAAGCTCATGGGCTTGTGTGGCTACTGCTGGGGACATAAGACAACCTAAACCCAGGAGAGGTTGTGTGTGCCAGGTTCAGCACGCTCACAGAGATGCTGGCTGATGTCTTCAACCCAGGGAAATGCATCTGTGGATGTCCTCTGCAGCTTGTCAAGCAGCTGCACAGGCGCCAGCTTCACCTCACATACCAGCTTGGTTTCCCCAGAGCCAGCTTAGAGGAAATGTTATAACATGGTTGGACAGCAAATCTAGCCTTGCATCAAGTGTGGGGACATCTTTTGCACTGCAGTGCAGATGCATTACTGGTTCTGTCATTACAGTTTGGTTTTCTAGAAGCAGTCATGCATGCTCGTGGCTGCTCTGCTCAAATGCTTCTGGTTTGGTGAAAGTTGCTGAGGGCACCATAAACTTAACATTTTGTTCTGGTTTCTCAGAGTACACTTTCAGGTACAAAGTCAATGAAGGTGTAGGGATTCCCAAAATCCCGGTTCATCCCATTGGATATCATGATGCAGAAGTATTACTGCGGTGAGTATACATCTGTCCTCCTCTCCAGAAGTCAGGGCTGACAAATGTGCAGACAAATTTTTCATATTAAGACAGCAAAATCTATGCTGTTACTTACATTTGCTACTCTTTGTAGTAATGAAAGTAATTCAGAAGTAATAATGTAGTATTTAATGTAGCAGTAATGTAGTTATTCTGGAAAATGTAGAAAATTCAAAGCATTCTGTTTTTGCAATAATGCTTTTAAGAAATTTGTGAAACTACCTAGGTTTTGCTGCAATAATTATTAAGAGAATTTAAGGTTTCAGCCTAATTGTCCACTCCATTTGTCTTGGTTTTCACTTCACAGTGCAATGGGAGGACCTGCAGCTCCAGACAGCAGCTGGAAGGGAAGTCTCAATGTGTCTTATAATATAGGGCCAGGATTCACAGGCAACTCTTCTACAAGGTCTGTTTTAATACTTGCCTGTTTATATAGTATTACAAAAAAAAAAAAAAAAATCCCTCTGAGGAAAAGACTCTGAAGCAATACGTCTACACATCTACACATACTCTGGAGATATTTACTTCCTTCTGCTAGGGATACATTTAGAGATAATTATTAGAATTTGGAAATAAATTGCACTAGAAAAAGATCATAAATTAGCAGATCAAGCCACATGACAATGACATTTGGCAATAAATTGCAGTAAAGCTAAAGATCACTTTTCTGTGACTTTTCCACATAAATATAGTTTCAGTTTACATGAGGTATTATTCAATGAGGACTGTTAGCGGACCCCAATGAACAGTGTGTAAAAATGGTGTATCATTATCTCTACCCCATCTCCTGGATAATAAGTGTATGTCTGAGTATATATATAATTTTATAAATATTTAATTTATCATTATTCTTTATCACTATTCACTAGCTGAAAATGAATAAAGTAGGAATAACTAAATAAGACAGCATATTTGACATAATTACAGTGCTGTTTGGAGTGTTTTGAAGAGCAACAGTGAGAAAACAATATGATTCATCCACAAAACTTGTATTTTTGAGTAGACTTTTTAACATCTTCCTACTTGATAGAGTAACTTTTTTTTTTTTTTGTAAATATGGATTAATTCTACACATCTTTCTCAGAGCAGTTCCATATCAAAATGAACCTTTTGATTCTAGGTAGAAAGTCACTTGCACATGGAAAGTGTGCACATATATGCATGTTCAAGGCACTGGTTTCTGTTGCTTTCTGGGCAAAGATCCAGTGGCTGTCCTGAAGTAGGTTTTGATTTTGACAGCTATGCAGATTTGCTGCTGAAAAGATGGCTTCAAATGTGGATCTCCTGAGGTTTTGCCAGACACAGAACCCCCCATTATTTGGTGCTTTGTTTCTTCCACAGCTTAAGGGGGCTACACACTGTGTTAGTTTTATCTCTCCAAATACCTGGATTCCCTTTGTTTTTTATAAAATTTCACAAGTGGATTTTACTGGTGAGGGACAGGGAGGAAAAAAACTGTGCTTCTAGTAGAGGGTTTTCTGTCTTCAATTAAAGATTCCCTGCCCATGACAGGAGGTTGGAACTAGATGACCTTTAAGGTCTCTGCCAACCCAAACCATTCTGTGATTCAGTGACTGACAAATCTTAATCCCTTAGATCTGTCCTAAACAGAGATTTCAGTTTATTCCTGGATGAATATTCCTAATGACCTTTTCTCCAAGTTCTATATTATTGCATGGACCTGTGCTAAAAAACCAAAGTGTATTCTGTATAAACATTTACATATCCACAATTATAATTTTGGTCAAAAGGTAGATGTATTTTTAATTCCTGTGCATGTTTTTCAGTTTATTCTTCTAGTACACAATTAGCTGATTGGTTCCTATAAAAAAAAAAAAGTTCTATAAATTCTGTAAATCTTTGCAAATTTATAAACTGGCCCAGCTCATATGATTTTTTCTAAGGCATCAGCAGCTGGCTAAACTGAAATAAAAAAATGAGTGTCTGAGACAGCATGGCAGTGCTGAACACACATGGGATCAGTATTGAAAACACAAAGCAGGACAGAAGCACAAACTCTCTGGTTTATGTGTATAACATTGGCTCTTTATTGGCTTATTAATCAGAAATGGTTACTCCACACTCCCTTTCATTTCAGAAAAGTCAGAATGCATGTTCATACAAGCAATAAAATCGCACGAATTTACAATGTCATTGGCATCCTCAGAGGAGATCTGGAACCAGGTGAGCATCAGGTGCTTCATGATTTTAATTCCTTCTTTCTTTTGTATTTGTTGAAATTGTACTTGTGTTGTAAGAAAGTGTTTTAGATAACCATAAAATACAGAGTCATGAGGAATTCTTAGTAGTTTTTCTGTCCTTCCCATCACACTATTAGTCATTGGCATTCCCAAGAATGGCATTCCCTTTAAAATATAGTGATAGACATGGGAGAGGAATTTTTTTTTTTTTTTTTTTTTTTTTTTTTTTAATAATGCCTGCCACTTTACAGTAGGCTTCACCTTACATCTGTCATAGATTTTGCCTTTGCAATAATTAACATCATTCAAATTACAGAAAGCTAGTGATGATTTGGGATGTTAAGATTATACTGTTGATACTATTGATACATCATATTATTGATACATTATACTATTGTAGCAGGTCACACACAACAAAGACTTTTAGATGGAAAATATTTATTAAATATTTATTGTCTTTAGTTGCAGACCTTAGCAGAGTAAGTGAATGATTGCAGATTCCCTTAAAAATAAACTTGTAGCACTGGTATTGAACTTCATATTTGATTTCGTACAAGTAAAGATGCAGCCAAAGAAAATCACAGGTAATCCAAGTGCATTTTAAATTATTAATTGATACTGTATGTTCGTTTCCAGACAGATATATTATCTTAGGTGGTCACAGAGACTCTTGGGTGTTCGGTGGTATTGATCCAACCACCGGTGCCGCTGTTCTGCAAGAAATCGTACGGAGTTTTGGTAAAATGAAGATGGAAGGTAACTTACTACAGATGTAAAATGATGAATATGGAAAACAGCAGCTTTGAGGATCATAAGCTGTTGTATTGATTTAACTTCCATGAGCTTCCATAAGCTGTTGTATTGATTTAACTTTTCACGTCTACAGAAAGTTTTATTTCTCATTATGGAAGTTGTAGGTTCATTGGAGAGATGCATATGTGGCATTGCGTGATAGTTGGCTGAATTTATTCCCTCGTGAGTGTATTGGTACCCTCTTAGCTGTGCAGAATAAAAATATTGCATTAAGAAGAAATGCCTCTGCAACAATATGTTACCCTAAGGATTTTAGAGAGGATTTTTTTTTACTGTTATATCTGTTAAGTGCTGTTTTTAAAGCAATTTCTTTAAGTATGGTCAGTAGACTTTTAAAGTGTAAGTTCAATTTTCAAGTTTAACTATGTAATTGCAGGTTGGAGACCTAGGAGAACTATTATTTTTGCTAGCTGGGATGCAGAAGAATTTGGATTATTGGGTTCCACAGAGTGGGCCGAGGCCAGTAAAAAAAACTGCGCAAAGCAAAGCAAAACCTGAAAGTGTGTTGCACGTGACTGCAGTAGCCAGGATCTATTCTTAAACTGCAATCAAAAACTCTGTGGTAATATTGGAGTACAATAGACTCCTTCAGGTGTTGTGAGGCACTCACGTGTTTATATAAATTACCTACTTAACTAGCTTCTTGCAATATAAGTGCAGTAACTCTTCTAAGATTTAAAAATCTACTTTGATTCAAAGCTAATATCCCACAGTGCTCTCTGTGTGGAAATTTATCTCCTCATTTAACAGAATGATAGCATTTTATTTGACCCAGATTGGTCTAACTTTCTATTTGAGAAATTCCTTCGTTTCTGTAAATTCAAGTCCAGATTCTGAACCTCTGATCCATAAGCATGCCAAGCCTTTGTATGAAAATCAATCCTACTGGGCAAATGAAAGAATAGATAACCTATGAGTGAATAGAACAAAATTCCTGTGAATTCCAGGATTGTAGAGTCTCAGGGGCAGAACAGTCAATTAATTGTGTAGGAGGATCCCTGACTGTATACCTGCCTGAAAGAACAATGTTGGCAAATTCAGAAGTGAAGTTCTGGCTATTTTTATCTTCTTTTTTCTATTGGGCATGTTATTTTTATCTTCCTTTTCCTGCCTGAGGGAGGAATGTTGGGAAATTCAGTAGTGAGGTTCTGAATACTTGTATGTTCCTTTTCCTGTTGGGCATGTTCACTTCTTAGTGGATTTGTTCCACCCCAATAACAAATATAGGTCTTATGAGAGTTTTCATTGCTTTGTCTGTTAAATCTAAATTAGAAATAGAGCAGGAAGAAAATTGCCTGATGAAACACATTTCTGCTGAACTATGTCAATTTATTAGTACTGAATATTTAAACAGAAATGTGTTTTCTTATTCTTCTATTAGAATTTTATTTACAAGTTAATATTTAGCTGTGTGGATAGAGCTCTCAGAATCTATAAAATAGAAACAAATAATCTTTTTAGTTTAGTTTATTGGCATGTTTCAGCAAATCACAAAATTACATCGCAAAATGGCACATGTCAGAGGAGGTAACAAACCCAGAAAAATGCTTCCAAACACCAAGGGGATTCCATCACTCTTCTGTTAACAAAGCTGAGATTTCTATTCCTTCAGATTTGCACTATTTTTTTCACCCATAAACTGTTTGGCTTCCAGCTGTAACAATGTCTTCATCTTACTGCTGGTTTATGAAACATGAATAAAAAGTAATTTAAATTATTTTAAATCATTTACTGAGAAATTTTAAATAGTTGGCATTAAATTTTCATCTCACCTGAACTCCTGAACTCCACTGATGGCAAAAATATGCTGTATGTAAAAATTTATTTGTGATTTCTTTGTCTGTGTGTCTCTGCACACATATAGGTTCTGTCAAGAAAAAAAAAAAACAACACACAGTTGTTTTCATTATGAGGAATATGAAAAAATGATACTTAAGAAATCAATTTCTCTTGAAAAAGTCAATAATAAATTAGGGGGTTTTCTTATGTTCTATTTGTTAAATATTGCTACTGCTGTTCTGTAATGGGTTTTCTGCCATAATTTGGTATCTAGTAATCTATCATTCATTATTTCATGAAATGGCAGCTGTATAAGGTTAGAAAACTGTAAGCACAGTTCATATTTGAACATGTCTTTTAATATTATTTTTTCCTTGCTTTATCTTGGTGGTGTGCATTACTACTCTTTTAGACCTAAATTAGATTCAGTTTCTCTAGAGACATTCCTCACAGCTTACATTCCTCTTCTCTGCAGCTGCCAGATCTGTCATGTATTAAATCTCGAGGAAAATTAACCCATGATATTCACCATTTTCTGTGTAACAGAAAGAATTCATCTGTGGCAACATCCTTTTGCTACACAGGCAATCTCCTTTGAGCATTATGAGCAATCTCCATTGCTCGTAAACAAAGGAATTTATTTATGCTGCAAATATGATTTTGCATATATGCAAGGCCCCATATAGGCAAGTACAGTCTTGCTCCCTCCCATCATATTCTTTTGCAGTTCTGTCAAGACTGTTTGTTTTTTTTTGGGGTTTTTTTTATGATGTTAATTTCATTATGTAGTTATCAATTACCAATTAAATTTTTAGTTCACGTGACTTACAAATTATTAGTTGGGTTATAAATTGAATGAATCAAGTAACAATTGCTAACCTAATTAAAATATCTGTCACAAAGCCAAAATCTCATGAAATACCACTTACTAATTAGGATATCAATTTCAAACATAATTACCAGTTTGAATAAAAAAAAATAAACAAGATGTCTGCATATATTTACCATGATAGGAATGCTTAGTGAACTCAGAATAGTCAGTCAACTGTATTTTAGTAGAAAATTTCAGTGCTTTGACTTATCCCATTTTGAAATGGAAGATGGTAGATATGGCAGGAGTGCTTGGTTTATCAGTGTTAAAATTGAATTCAGTGCTGGAAATACGTATGGAAAACTCGGGATTAAAAGCATGGAGGAATTCTGGCTGACCTCACAGTCACATGCTGCATGTTCAGAAAGTCCTGAAGTGCAGAGCTAAAATGCATGTCATACCCTAATTTTACTGTGTTACAATTCTATTCAGTAATTTTCCTGCTCCGTTTTGCCCTTGTGTGATGCAGCAGGCAGCACATACCTTTTGTGGATGTTTTCCACAACAAATTAAGTCCCAGAAAGGAACAAGGAATTTTATATGCCCAGAACATTTACCCATCCTCAAACAATATAATTAGTAAGGCACACAGTAGTAATTATCCTGACTGAGATCTTAACAGTAATGCTCTAAAAAACAGTGCACTTGACATGCTCTTGACTAAATGCCACTAATTGGAAGTAAGAATTATACATTTACAATCCTAGGAAAATGCCAAAGTCCTTCAGGAACGGGCAGTCGCTTACATCAATGCAGACTCTTCTATAGAAGGTGGGTCTTTTATTTTAAACTTTACCTGGCTTTACAGGTGTAATTTTTATTAGTTCTCCGTGAATTATTTACTACATGAGAGAGGTATTGTGGTGTACAGAATAAGTGGAGCAAATACCTAATTAAGAGGAGAGAGAGAACAATTTAAGTTTTCATGTTGCTTTCTTTTGCAAGTAGTGCTGTCCATGAGCTGCAGTCCATGTGTCTGAGTCCAGAATGCCTCCTCTGGAGGAGTTTATTATTCTGTGCTAATGAACTGAGCATTCTGTATGTTAAATTGTCTCTTAACTGCATTAACTTTAATTTACAATTGTAGTTTTAATATATGACAGTCTGCTCCTTATTCTGGTCACAGCTCCAGCTCCTTTCCCTGTGGAATTATAATATTTTGAGGCAGTAAATTATTATGATGGTAAGACCTCAGGCTTACACTTTGTGGGGGTGGGAGATGCTTTGGTGCTTTCAGCCAGTGTGCTCACCTTTGTTGATTGTCAGGAGCAGGGGTTATATATTTATTGCAGCAGGACTTTTTTAAAAAATAGACACTGAAAAGTGTTTCACAAAAAAACCTTATCCACCATTATCCAATTTACAGTGTCCTTCAGATTATGAGAAGAATTTGTCATTCAGGAATGCTACTTAGAAACGGGCCTTTTTTTTTTGAGAGAGAGCCCAACACCATGATCTATATCACAAAATCCTTCTGAAATTATGCTGCACCTTATTACAGAAGACCTTTTTTGCTGTTTTCTGTGCTGAAATAACAGTCAGAAGTGTCCTGTGAAGCTGCTCTGCTTCATAACCTCAGTTACTCAGGACATAACTCTTCCCATGTCAAATTCAACTTATTTGGGCTTCCTGTGTGTGAATAAAATTGATATCTACAGGCATATTTAGACTTATTACAGAAAGACCTTTTTTGCTGTTTTCTGTGCTGAAATAACAGTCAGAAGTGTCCTGTGAAGCTGCTCTGCTTCATAACCTCAGTTACTCAGGACATAACTCTTCCCAAGTCAAATTATTTGGGCTTCCTGTGTGTGAAAAAAATTGATATCTACAGGCATATTTAGGAACTCTCTTTATTCCTGTCAGCTAAAAATTTTGTCTGTCACAAAAGGATTGGAAAGAAAGAAAAGCCAAACCTAGTTTCTAAATGGTGAGTTGGAGCTGGGGAATAAGGAGGGTTAGAGCTGCTCCTTCATTTATGCTGCCTACATGCTGTGTAAAAAGTAGAGCAGAATTTCACACCTAGAAAATCTCACAAATGAAATAATAGCTTTACAACTGCTTCATATTCTCACCATGAATTGTAACGCATATTTTTTACTTGGTTTGCAGCCAACATGCTGCTGCCTTAACAATTTTCTTCTAAATCTTGATTATTCAAACATGTCTCTTGCTTTATGCATTAAAGAAAATGTGAAAGCAAAACAACTGGAAAAGAAGTGTGTAATAAGGAAAAGAACACCATATTCAGTGCACTGGCTTAAGTATCTTGGACATCTCTCACCTGAGCAGTAAAATCCCCTGTAGACTCATAGCATTCATGTGCTCTGAAAATTATTTTGTTTATCATCATATATTCTCCACAACACTTCTTATACCACTTTTTGGACAGCAAATTACTTCTATTTATTGTCCTATAGCAATGAAAATAAGCAAAGCAAGTCATTGTTTTGAGCACTTTTGTGGCTTGAATTTCCAGTTTTCACATACAGACTCTTCTTGGAAACATCATTAACATTATCTGGTATTTTTTCCATCATCTTACTTTCTGCCTTCTGTTCAACCAAAGCTTTGGGAAGCATATGAGTGACAAGGGCTTGTAGCTAATGAGGGGTAATTAGACATACTTTAGAGCTATGGGAAGGCTTAATTACATTACTGTGGATTTACTATAACCAATACTTTATTGCCTTGTCGTGGCAGTAGCTTACAAAGTGAGACCATGCAGTCTATTGCTGTACATATTCTGAGGCAAGACCTAAATTCTTGCCTTAGTCAAAAAGCTTATCTAAGAAAGGACTGCAGGGTTTAATCCATTAAGAAGATAATGCCACTAGTACATGAAGTTTTTGTTTTATTTTCAGGTAACTACACATTAAGAGTTGATTGTACCCCTCTTCTCAACAAACTGGTGTATAATCTGACAAAAGAGGTACAGAATCCATCTATTTTTCTGCCTTTCTAAGAATAAGTAAGACTCCAAGTTTATTTGATAAAATTGGACTATTGAATAATACCATATTTTTTTAACTGCTGTGCTAGAAGAATCTTGATTCCACCAAAATCAATAGCAAAACATCCCATCAGCAATACACAATCCATGCTCACAGTTCCTCAGTATTCTTAAAAGGATTGAAATGTGTCACTGGCATAAGTGGAATCTTATTTGAAATATAGAGTAAAAATAATAATAAAAAAAGCAAAATGCTTGAGCAAGATCAATGCTCTAAAGTTATAAACACTGAAGAGAAATATTTTTGACATTGGCTGGCTACCATTTTCTCTCTGTTCCCTGAATCTCCTCCATATCTCACTGAGCCCCTGAAATATGTGATAAATATTGAAGGATTAAGAAGGTTTTCTAACAGGTCTGATGTGTGGATTTGCATTATTTCAAGTGGTCTAACCATGACTCCTTTACTTTCAGCCATTATCATAAGGCTGAAAGGTTGTGATCCATTAAAGCATGGAACTTTATTTTCCGTATGAGTTAACCAGATTAGGCTTCTGTCATCAGATGAGGATTCCTCTCAACGAACAGAAGACAGCTCTGTCTGACTTCAGCAGCACAGGCTCCCTGTAAAGGCATCGGGTAGAAATTGGTGCCTTTAGGATGAGATTTGTTTGACCAAATGTAGTTGTCTACCTTGGTATGTACTGAACTCAAACTATTTCCTCCCCTAATCTTAAGGGAACTCAGGTCACTTGGTCCAGTGTGAAAACCTGCCCTGTAGTAGCACTTGGTAGGATGATCCAGGTACCAATCTCCCATCCTGGTAGATACATTCATCCCAAGTTATTTTGAAACACAGTACACTTTTGCCAGCTGAAATGCCATAGTTTAGATCTGGGGAAGTTTATCTGTGCTATTCCCATGGTTTTCTTCTCTTTTCTACATTTTATTTTCCTATAAATTCTATCTTAATCTTTCATCCTTGCAGAGGGAAGAAGCTATGCTGTTCAAATATTAGGTCTGACACTTGGCACACTGAAGAGCATTCTCTTTTGTCTATAAAAGTTTTCGTGTCCTTAGTGCTGCAGGGCCCTTGATAAAATAATTTACTTTCTGTCTGCAGTAAACCACTAACTCAGGAAGACATTTCACTGTAAAAGATAAACAAAGTTACAAAAAAGTGCTCTGGGGTAAAAATAGTACCTAGCTCTGATCTTAAGTCAACTATTCAGCTATTGCTGGTTTGACTAGAAAACTTCCATTAAAGTACCATGCAAAGTACTCGAGACTGACTTATAAAAATAAATGTCATATTCACTGTTATTTTAGCTTTTAACAGTAGAAGCATGATGTAAACAACAGAAAACCTGGCAGCCTGATTATGCCTGTCAAAGGAAACTTATTTCTCTTCGTAGTAAGGTGCCCAACATGTCCAACAGAGATCTCTTTGCTCTTCTTGTTTTTTAGTGGGCCAGTTCTCACCAGAAGTGTGGTGTACACAAGAAGTGTTTTCTTTCAGGGAGTTCTGCATTTAAGTGTGCTCCAGCTACAGCTGAGACATTGAGATGTTGATGGTCTTTTTGGCCCTGCTTTATTGCCAGGGTTTAGACATTTGGTCACCACCAAATGGTGTCTGCAATAGTTCAACTCCAATTCCCCTGAGATTATCACTGCTTCTTTTGCATTTATACTTAAAGAACTCTTCATCTTCTCTTGAGTTAGCAGGAAGCTTATGCTGATGCTAGATTTGGATCTAAGTCAGGGCAAATATGTTTTACTATGCTCTCAGTGTTGTATGAAAAAGCTGACCAATGTTTTTTTACATGACCAGAGCTGTTAGAATAATATCTTTGCCAGAGCATAGAGTGCTTTTGCTCCCATATGTCAGAGTTCAGCTTGCTCTTATTAATGTGCACTTTTTACTTTAGCCCTAGGACTTGACCAGAGTACCCTGAAAATGACAGCAGCCAAGCAGTTATTTCACAAAGTTATTTTCCTGCTAGCTGCTGACAGAATCTCAGAGGTCAGAACTCTTTGTAATTTCAATTTGGAGTTTGTATGTTTTTCAAGACCGAATTTAAGTCTCAACAACATGGTGGAACCATGTAAGTGTCCATGAATATTTATGCTTTGTATTTGGAGGAAAAAAATATCGAATCCTCTTGCACGTCATAACCAATCTTCTGCTTAAAGGACTGTGTCTATTAAAGGTTGTTTAAGTGTAGGTGGAGACCAGGTTGGGAGTCTTACTTATTTCTGCTCTGCCACAGATTTCCTAAGAGCTTTCATCAACTTATTTTATAGTCTTTCATAGTTTTGCTGGCAGCATCATGACAGCACTAGTACTTACCTTTTCCATCCTGGTTACAGAGCTTTTGGGGGTTTTTTTTGAGGTAAGGGTGAGACCTACATTTGTACATACAGTGTCTTGCACAATGATTCTCCAGGCTTGGTTGAGTCCCCTTGGAAGTGCTGTAATATGACTGGTTTGGACCCTTCCTTCCAGTACAATTCTTTTGCACCTTTCCTACTGAACAAGCAGTCAAAATTTAGGTTTAGCCTTGTTGAGAGAATATTGCCACTGTGCAGGGCAGACCTCAGGGCAAAACAGGCTTGTGGTTGTCATCTCCTCATGCCTGCTGAAAGGAAAGCAGGTTCTAGTTTCTGGAGGAGTCCCATAGCGTTATATATGCTCTTGTGTGTGTACATGCACATTCCCCCTATAGTAGATGAGCTCCAGGTGTAGATGAGCTCCTCCTTTTAACCTGTTCTTTCCTACTGTCTGTGGTTGGTTCCAAGTGTCTGTGAGACGCTTTCCTTGTTTGGGAATGAATAAATGTGTGCAACAAATGCCAATATTCACTTCCCTGCATGCAGCAGCACTGCTGGTTAAGAACAAAGCAGGGAGCTGCAAAGATCTCCTTTGATAATGAATTGAATTAGAGGTACTTCCAATGAGATTATCATATTTCCCTCTCCAGATTTTAAGCCCTGATGAGGGTTATGAAAAGAAATCTCTTTATGAGAGCTGGCTTGAAAAAGATCCTGCATCTGAAAATAATAACTATCCCAGGTAAGTTGTTAATATGTTTTGGGGCTTTTTACCCCAATATTTTAATCATATGGCTACTGACTAGAATTTTTTGAGGTGTGCTGTTTATGGCAGCAATACAAAACCTTTTACCACAAGGTGACCCTCTACCAATATTTTTAATAGTAAAATAAAATGAGATTGTATTATTTTTATTTAATGATGGTGATATTATTCCTGTGGTGAAATGAAACCTCACACTTTCTAAAGACCTTTTTATTAGCAGAAAAGCAACTTGAAAAGCATCCAAAAAAAAAAAACAAGGAGGCAGGGGAAAGAGTTCAAAACATAGTTTAGTCACATAGTAGATAAAATAAACTCAAAATTGTTAGGATAAGCAAACAGTTGAGAGAAGCTGCCTAGAGCAGTAATTAAAAAGCAGTAATTAAAAAACTTGAGATAATTATTTCTTGTTTATACAAAGAATGTAAATGTATTACATTCCATGTCTATATATGAGTTTATTAACACTTCATATTTGAAGGTATTACAACTCCAAAACACACTTTCTACCTGTGACTCAGAAAGGCTAAATCTTATTCACAGAGTGGTGTTACTGGCATAAGGTAAACAGAGCTGCCCCCTTTTGTGATTTGACAAAAATCTTCTGCATGTTTCTGGCTCTGCTGAGTTTCTGGATTCATTTGACCCACTGAGATTTCTTCCTTTTGAAAAAGCAGCCAGATTTGATCTTTCTTAGTTGATGCACATCATTCCTTGCAGAAATGTACACTAACTTCGGCTGGAAATAGAAGAATTTTTTTTTTCTTTAGCTGAGAAACACTAATTATTCATCAGGCCAGACATATAAACCTGAAACTTAACTTCAAACGTAAATATTTGAAAATACTTCGGATGCTGTGTCTGTCTTCTGCCGTCTCCTCGCCCCTGCCACGCCGCAGCTCCCCGTCAGATGGCAGCGGCGCCCCGCAGGTGCCGAGCGCCGCCCGCGCCTTTCGCGCTGGGAATTATTTATCGGTCTTGGATTCTGCTGCGGAATGCGCCAACTACACAAGCACATCTGTCTTTACACATACTGCTGCCCAATTCGTATTAGTTTGAAAATAGATGATTGGTGTTTTAAGACGGCAGAGACATGGCTGATACAATTTTATGGCTCCTGCGCATAAAGTGTTTGTATTTTTAATGTCATCATTGCCATAATTAGGATTGCTACAATTAAAAGATCTTCCTAGCAATATTGGATACTGAATCAGAGTGTTGGAATAAAATCAGTTAAGTAATTAAGCTTGCCATTCATCTAGTTTTTGATCTTACTAGTGTCCCTGATGTACCCTTCAGAAGAACTGACCTCAATTTCTCTGAAAAATCTGCATTTTGCATAAATTACTACCATACTGTTCAGTAAGTGCTCTCACTAAGATAATGTCTTTTCTGCATGCAGAATAAATAAGCTGGGGTCAGGCAGTGATTTTGAAGCCTATTTCCAGCGACTGGGAATTGCATCAGGCAGAGCTCGTTACACCAAGAACAGGGTAAGCCTGACAGAGTGCTTGAAGAAGTTTGATAGTGCTGAGCAGTCATCCTGTTAAAAGCATTTATTCATAATTAATAAAAAAGTTTCAAAGCATCTTTGACTGGTTTGTATACAGCAACGTTTCTTAATTTAGCAAGAAACCTAAATGTTTGGAGAATAATACATGTTACAGTGATGTGTATATTCTATAGGATGTCAGGTTCACAGAGAGGTATTTATAGAGTCTGATTGAAGGTGGATAGTTTGTTCCACCATGCTATTAATAGTCCTCTTAATACACAAATCTTCCATAGCTGTGTTTAGAAACAGCTACACAAGGTAAAAAGGGGCTGTGATTGAGGACTTTTGCTATCCAAACTCCAAACTGTTTTCACTCTTGGAGAAGGCCACCTCTGTGCAATGAAACTGAAGGCAGGTCTGTGTTGGTAGAGAGAAAGAAGCCTGCTCACTTAATCCTGTGCAACAGTCCACGGATTCGAACTGGTTCAATTTTTTAATACAAACACACTCAAATGAAGGATATTAAATTGTGTTTTGTAGCAAATAGCTTTTTTGATTTGGAAACCAAAGAAAACATCAGAGTCGTAAAGGGATCAATACATCTTTTAACTGCAGTCAGAATACAGGGCATTGACAAATTTGCTTGCTCTTTTCCAGAAAGCAGACAAATTCAGCAATTATCCTGTTTATCACACTGTGTATGAGACATTTGAGCTAGTGGAAAAATTTTATGACCCCACCTTCAAGAAACAGCTAACAATTGCCCAGTTACGAGGCAAACTGGTTTATGAACTGGCAGATTCCCAGGTCATTCCATTCGACTCTAGAGACTACGGAGAAGCCTTAAAAGGATACAGCAACAGAATTTATAAATTAGCCAAGAAGCATGAAGAACAGCTGAAACTTTACAAAGTATCATTTGGTGAGTAACAGCCACAGGACTGTGCATTATGTGTATTAATTAGAATCGTGCAGGGACATGTTACATCTGTCATAGCTCTGCAAATTAATTCCTTTCTTTCCTCTTTGAATTTTGCCATCATATCAAGAGTCACTATTTTTTTTTTCTAAACACAACACAGGTTTAACTCATCATTGTCTTGATAAGAGGGTGTGGTGGGTTCAGTGCTGGCCAATTACTAAGGGCTATAAGAATTTTCATGCATATTATTAATTACAGGCATTATTACAGTGCTCACAGGCAGTCAAGGACCTCAAATGTAGGACAAAGAGGTATCTCAGCCTGATCCTCACTTCCTTGCTTAAAAAAGAAGTCAAGTGCTTTTGGCAACTGCTTTGAAATTGAGGGACATAGGTGTCCATTCCTCTTCATGCAAAACTTCATCTGACCCTGGGGAGCTCCACCATCTCCCTCAGTGTCTGGTTGCCATTTTTAAGCTACAGGAGCATTTTTCCAGCTCTCCTGCATGAATGCATCTATTTTCTGAGCACCTGAGCACATTGCTCTGGAGCCCATAAAACAAGTCTAAAGCAGAGTGCTCAGGATCCCAGGCTGGGATAGCTTCCAGAGTCATTTTCAGTCTCCTTTTTTTTCCTTCCTTTTTCCTTCTTGCCTTGATCACTCCTTGTGTTTCTGCACAAAGGAGATTTTTCAGTCAGTCCTAATTCACTTGCTATCTGATGAACCCATGATTTAAAGATACAAATCACCTTTTGGAGATGCACTCCTTGTTTGGGATATGTGAAAAATTGTAAGTAACTCAAATTGAACCCACATTTGGGGGAAATTAAATATTATGTTTGAAATGTCATGTAATGGTTTTGGTGAAAAATTGTTGATTATTTTGAAAAGACACTTCTTTTTGTAAAAAGACCTCTTGAGACAGAGGAGGTGTCTTGTGTGATGGATCATCTGGTCTGAGATTTTGTAAAACACCAAGAGTTACTTCAATATGTTCTAGTGTTCACTGCAGCATGTCTTGTAAGATCAAATTTTTTTTTTTTTTTGCAGTAGTGGAACATCTATCAAAATATCTGTGAAATAATTTATTTTCATTGTTTGAGTTTCTATCTATTTTCAGATTAGAAGTTGCACAAACTACCTCCTGACCAGTGCATCTATTCTCATTCCTAGAATCTAGAAGCAATCTTCTATTTTTAGGTTTTTTTTTTGTTTTTCACCCAAATAAGACTTCTCCTTAATAACTTTATAAATGCCTCATTTTGACTATTTTTTTTACAATACATGTTTTTCAGTCTTATCATTATTTTCATGGCTCTTCTCTGATGCCTGATGAATTTTAAATTATTTATGGAATGAAGCTAAAATTTCTAATTTTTTATTTATTGTATTGCACCAGAATACATTAAATAACATAGGTAGGTTTTACAATACTGCGAAAATTAAAGTTCATTTAACTCAGCATTTTCATAGAATTACTTAGTGTCAACACTGAATGTCAGAAAATTGTTGATTAAGCCTGACTAAATAATATAATTGTCCTTTTAAAAATAATAGATTAAGGCTCTTATTTGCATTTGGATTCACATTTTAGCTGCTCATCTGCAACAATGAAGGCTGGAACCTTTTTTTCATAAAATTTGTGCTTGTACTCATATGCTATCAGGAAATAATGTTTTCAAGTGGAGAAAAAAAGAAATGTGATGTTTTCTAAAATAACCAACATTGACAACACTGAAGAGCTAGTGAACACGAACACCAAGTTTCTTACATTATTTTTCAGATGGTCTTATTTTTTTTCTCTCTCTTAAATCCCCTCCTACTGCTTCTGAAATATAATCTGTTGCTGTGATATGGTCATGATGTCAGCAGGGCAGGACTCTGCCCCTGGCAAACTTCGAGCTCTTGCCACAGGGTTGTGGACAAGTGTGAATTCTCACCCTCACAAGGTGATGTGTCCCTCTGAACTGCAGTCTGTAAACAGCTTGCATACATAAAATCTGTGTTTCCAATTGTACCAACTAAGCAACAGCAATAAGACAAAAATGAAGCAAGTGTAGGCTTGTGATGAATAAATAAGTTTGCTAGAAATAGGAGAGCAAATGAGTCTGAGGAACAGCTTTCAATAGGAGTCCTGGGAACAGAAAGCCTGTCACGTGAAATTGGATGACAAATCTATAAACAGTGAAGGGATAATAGTTGACAACAGAGGACTGGATTTAGGGGATGATCTAATCGTATGTCCCATCTTCCTGCACAATTGAAGAGAGGATACTCTGGTTTAGCCAGTTTTCTGAAACTTGTGGACAAAATTTACAAGCTTTAAACTGTCTTTTTTTTCTAATTCAGTGGAGTTTTGGTGGGGCCAGAAGTTGGCGTCGTAACATCCACCTGTGATTTATTCTACAAAAATTACTTGCATAAATCAATACTTTCCCCAGGTCTGTATGAAATAGAGCCTTCCACATCACAGCTGCTACTGCCATTAAAAGGAAAGCCTGCTGCTTCTCTAACTGAGTTATTCCACATGTCTCGGAGGTACTGGGCTGGGAAAAGCAGCAGCATTCCTGCCCACCTGCCTGCACACAGTCAGGCAATCCCCTGGCATCTGAGAGGCAGTGCTGGGGGACAGCATGGGGGAACATGGCATAGGCACCTCCTGAGCTGCAATTTCAGCCAGGACTTGGCTGCTTTAACCTGCTGTGTCTGTCCTATGTGCCACGACAGCTGTGCCTTTTGTGCCTCACCTCACGCTGCTCAATGCACATATCACACTCTCCTGTTGTGCTGTGAATGGGACATCTTTCTCCTCAAGCAACATCCTGCTGTTCTTCCACAGCCTTCTGGAACAGCTGGTATTTCTGATGGAAGTCAGGCTTTTTATACCTGAGCACTGCGGTGCATTTGTTGAACAGGGAACTGCAGAGCTCTCAATGTGCAATGACAGCCAGTTTTTTGCTTGCAAGGCAGAGGGAAGATGAATGGTTGTGAAAGCTTTCCGAAGCACTCTGCTTTACTGTTGGTCTCATTGCAAAAAGTATTTGCTAGCAGTGCAGCTCTTTAAAGTCTGCAATAGGGAAGCCAATCAATTATGTAAAAATAACAAAATGAATGCTATTATATCAGCAAGACAAATGTAGTTCTCCCACTGAGCAACTGAAAGGTATATTAGGTTTACTGAATACTTCAAAGTTTTTCATGTTCTTCCATTCCTAGATCCTCTTTTTTCTGCTGTGGTGAACTTCTCAAAGGCTGCTGCTGAATTTCACAGAAGACTTGAACAAGTAGACAAGAAAGAGTAAGAAATAAAGTGTTTTATATATATATATATGTGTGTGTGTGTGTATATATATATATGTATGTATACATTTATGTCCTGGTTGGCCTTAGGTACCCAGAGTGGCAGTTCTTTATTTCTTCTACTGCACAAGGATTCTCTCTGATGAGTGTAGAACAGAGCTCTGAACCCTGAGACAGGTAGTATCTTTAATGATGAATTAGCAGATACAGGAATGTTCCTTTGATTGATAGTATGAGCTTATTACTAGTATCAGGTTGTCATTAAAATTACTGCAATACATGGAGAGGCAGGTAGCAATGAAAGTTAGACTTGGGCTGAGATCTCTAGACACCTACACCTGAGTGTTGTAGGTGATAACAGAATTTTTCCTTTCAGCACACTTCAAAGACAGAGGATGATGCTTCAGAATATCCAAGATATCCGTATGATGCTTGACAGCTTAAGGCTGCTGCAGGACTCCTGTGCCCTCTGAGTGCAGTAACTGCAGGCCACATACGGTACCAGTTGTGTTTAAGCAGCTGAATCCCATCCTATGTTACTGCATAGATTGGAACAGGACTATGGACATTTGGCTTATAGGTGGACACCAAAATTTAGCTATCTTCATCTGTGTAAATCTCAGTCTTCTTCTCCATTCTCTTAAGTGCCATCTTTCCAGTGCCATTTAATATTAAGCAAGTATCTGACACTCTCAGAAAGTTTCCCATTTTATTTTGCATAGTGTGAAGTGTTATTTTCTAACACAGAAATATCAATTCATTATTATAACATGGATTCAGAATCTCCATTTGCAAAACCTCACCTTTTTTTGTAAACTGTAGACCGCACTTGTCTTTTTTTCTTTTTCTGTCAAAAAAAAAAAAGGTGAAGAAAAGTGTTTTAAATGAAACTGGGAGGTCATGTTTCCCTGCTGTGTGACATTTCTGTGTCTCCCTCTCCTGCAGTTCAGTAGCAGTGCGCATCATGAACGATCAGCTGATGTTGGTAGAAAGAGCTTTCACTGATCCTCTGGGCTTGCCAGGAAGGAAGTTTTACAGGTGAGGCTAAAAGTTTCTTGATCTGCTGTCTAAGGCATCCTATTTTTGTAGCTGACCAGTCAGTTGAATTGCTGTATGGGTCTCACAGGAATTACAGTTCAACACATTGCTTTAAGTACATGAATAGTGGATTTCGTTTATAACCCTTAAGGAGAACTCCTTGGCTACACCAGACTTGTGGAGCCAAATTCTCTTTTGGCTCTTTCTATCAGCTGTGGTTAAACCACAACAGCATTATACTCTGACTTTTGCTTGTAGATGTGCAGTAATAGTGCTGTTACAACTTGCTCTTGTGATTGTCTGTAAAGTGAGGATTGAGTGAAGAATGAATGAACTGTATTTAAAAAAAAAGTGAAAAGAGGGCAGAGTAAATGAGAACAGACGTGTAATGAGGGTCAGTTGAAGAGAGAAGCCAAGAAAGGAGAGTTTGGAGAGGGAGGGACCTTTCAGCACAGGATAAAGGTCTGTGAGCTGTGCTACAGAGCCCCCTCTATCCCAGTTTTGGCTGCTTCTATAGGAGCTCCAAAAAGCTTAAACCACTAACTACTATATTCTTTCTAGAATCCCAGTGCTTTTATTAGGAATGCCTGACAAGATGCCAGCTTTCAGTGTCAGGGGTGTAAGCATCTCACTTTGCTTTCAGTATCCCCCTTTTCCTATCAACTGGATATGTCTGACTCACTGATGGATGGCTTTCATGCCATGCCACAAGTCTTTCAGGCAGGTAGAACTGAGAATCACACCTCCATCCTCCTAGGATAAACTGTCATTCACACTTTGAGAAGAATGAAGTAATTTCTTTCTAGAAATTTTCTTGTTGGGTGTTGGGTATCATTTGGAGCTGTCTGGGTTTTTTTATTTTATTATTAGTTCTTACTTGCTTGAATTTATTAATGTAATTTTAATGTTTCTTTTCATTTGGGAGGACTCTTTCACATGCTGTAAATGTGCTTTTATACTTCATAGTTAAAATAAATTTAATTGCAGATCTGTAGCTATTCATTATTTAGGGAAAAAAAACCAAAACTATACCAAAAAATAAGATTGATATTTTGTGCAGTTCTGATCCAATATGATCACTTCTCTTCTCAATAATTCATGCTTTTCTCTAGAATTCAGCCACAGATTTTTTCCCCTCCTTTTAAATTCCTTTCCCAGGTAAATAATCTGCTGACCATCATGCAGCTACTTAGCTGTTTTTGAGGTTTCTACTCCATTTCTCACAGCACACCTATAAGTAGTTTTATTCCCTGTTCTCGACTGGCAAATTACTTAGATAGGTTTGTTGAGCTCCCATTTTCAAAAAGTGTAACATGGTTTTGCTCTTAATTAGACAAATGTGTCATCTCTTCCCAAGGAGAAGGCCATCTGACCTAAATCTGTGCCCTTTCCAACAGATTTTGATCTTGGGATTGTTCCTGTCGTTTTGGAGCCCAATTTCCTGTGTATATTCACAGCTGCTTCATACAGTACACGTACAATGAACACACACCCCATTAATAGTTTCTTTTATTTAGGATAATTGCCTTTTTTTTTTTTTTTTTTTTTTTTTTCCCACAGACATGTCATCTTTGCTCCAAGCAGCCACAACAAATATGCAGGAGAATCCTTCCCAGGAATCTATGATGCCATGTTTGATATTGAAAGCAAAGCTGACCAACTTGAAGCCTGGGAAGAAGTGAAGAGGCAGATTTCCATTGCAGCCTTCACTGTGCAGGCAGCAGCAGACACACTGAAGGAAGTAGCATAAGATGAAGGCTTTGAAAACTCCCAGAGCAGAGTGTGGCACACAGAGCTGTCAGGCTGCTGCAGTGTCCCAGTGTCCCCGACTGCCTGCCCTGCCTCAGTCTCCAGCCTCCCAAACCACACGGTAGGTGTGCAGAGCTCTGTGTGCCAGAGAACTCCTGAGACAGGGATTGCTGCATCTCTGCTACTGACAGAACTTTATGAACAGCTCTGGATGGAAGCAAATTTGGGGAGAAGTGGGAAGAGGGGGAAGCAGGAACAATCAGTTTCTGATTAGAATTTTCTGAGAGATCTACCAGCTTTGAGGACCCAGTGTTTTGCATGTACAGTTATGAAAACAATTATTTGCCAAACTACCTGCAAATTTGTCCACAGCAGTGATCAACAGCACACATTTTGATGGAAAAAATGCAATACTCAGCCTGTCCATTTTTCTTGTTCTGATAATTACTTTTATAATAGGAGACACCAAAGGCACCTCTGCATTTCAGAATCAATTCTGCAGGACTGGTGAATGCTCTTTACACTGATTTGCTTTCTTTTCCCTGAAAAAATAAATAAGTGACTCTCCTACTGATTGCCAAAGCAGTACTAGCCATTCTTGATAATCAAGGAAAACAGCTGAAATCCAAAAGCATGCTCTCAGTGGAGTGCACATCCATCCCTCTGAAAGTCTCTATGCGTCTCACTCTTTTACTTGCACTTTGGAAAATAAAGATTTTGGGGGGTAACCAAAAGCTGACCTCCCTGCTCTTTTTGGCACTTTCTCTAGTTCTGAGCCCAGGGCAGCTTTTGTTCCTGTTTTTTCCCAGGCAATCTCTTTCATATTTTTTCCATCTGAAGGAGCTGGAGGGTACTGTTACTATTAGCATGGAGCTTGAGATAATTCTGTCTTCAAGTAAGACCTGAAGAATGTTTCCCATCAGGAGCTGATTTTATATTCAAAGAGGAACTGAAATGCATGAGAAGGCCAGTTGTACAAAACTGTTTAGTTCGTATAAAAAGAAAAAAAAAATTAAAAATTTCTTGCTTCATTTGCCCTTTAGGTGTAATTCTCATCTACATGCTTTAAAATGAATAAAATTGCTAGAATTTTACTGAATCACATTCCATCTTGTGGAAACTGACATTAACCAATTTCATCTCTTATGTAAAATATACTACAGTTTTTGTCACTACCATAAATTGTACCATGTTGTGGGAAAAAAATCTTCTTTGTTTTATGGGGAATAGAACAGATGTGGCCCTAAAAAGGACAGAATTAGAAAAGCAGGACAGAATTGTTGTTCTCATCTCAGATGCCTTGAATTCAGACAAGGGAACCAGAAATAACTTGTGAGAAGTTGTTTTGGGGGATATATGCCACCAAGAAGAGAGGCTTTCACTGGCATCGCCTCCAATACACCTCCATGAAAGATGAAGGATTGTGTGCCTGTGGATGCTGTTCTCTTAATTTACTGTTCAATTGCTTTTCACAGATCAAGCCTTAGGCACTTGAGGAGGAAATTACACTTCCACAGTCCATGCTGCACCTCTTCTGTTGGGTAACGGAATGCAAAACTGACCTTGTCAGCACATAAGAGACAAGAGTAGCTGATGCTGGGGCACAGACCAGGTGATTCTTGCCCTTTGCTCTGGCAAGGCTCCACCTGGAATGCTGCTTCCAGCCCTGAGGCCCCAACATGTGGGCCTGTTGGAGCAAGTCCAGAGGAGGCTATGAAGATGATCAAAGGGCTGGAGTATCTCTCTCATGAGCACAAGACTCAGATGGCTAGGGCTGTTCAGCCTAGGAAAGGGCAGGCTCTGGAAAAACCTTATTTACAGCCTTCCAATAGCTAAAGAAGGCTGAAGAGGGACTGTTGACAGGGGTGTGTAGTGACAGGACAAGGGGGAATAGCTTCAAACTGGAAGAAGGTGGGTTTAGAGTAGACAAAATTCTTTACTGTGAGGGTGGTGAGGCACTGGCACAGGTTGCCCAGAGAAGGTGTGGATACCCCATCCCTGGAGGTGTTCAAGACCAGGCTGGATAGAACTCTGAGCAACCTGGTCTAGTGGAAGGCATCCCTGCCCATGGCAGGGGTGTTGGAAGTAGAGGATCTTTAGGGGCCCTTCCAGCCTAAACCTATTCTATGATCCTATGAACAGCAAATACATTTTCGTTGTTCTCTTTACTTTTACTTAACTGGGGACATTCACAGTTTTCATCTCCACATCTGTAGCTGAACTTACTGCTTAAGAATATCTTGCAATGATGTGACTGGTACATAACTGCACTGGTTTTTTTTTTTTTTTTCCCCTTTCTCCGAATTGTGTGCCCTTCCTGCTCCATCACAACTTTACATTAGCTGCAATGGGCAGTACTGAATGTGCTCCCAAGGGAGGGTTAGGATATGTAGATAGTGAAAAAAAGCCATTAGTGCATCTTCCTTCTGAGCCACAGCCAACTTTGGATCTGCCAGCGGTTGCTGCTGTAGGATCATCAGAGTGTAAGGCAAACAAGGAGTTTCCACATTGCAAAGAAATATTTAATGAAACTTTCTTCTTCCTCCATTTACGGAAATGTACAAACCAGTGAACAAATGTCTCACAAGTAAACATAATTTTTTCAGTGGTAGCTAGCCTTTGAGGTTCTGTACTATTACCTTGCTGCTGCAAAAGAACATACAATCTCTCCTTGCTTCCCTGTGCAGTTTGAAGCTGTAAGAATAAATTACAGCTCACAGCAGGCTGCATGCACAGCTGGCATTGATTGCTTTGTTCCTCTTGTCAACTTAATTGATAACTGTGTGAATGTGAGATTCATCATGACCAGCTACAGCCTGAGAAGTACACAAAATATATTAAATCTATTTCCATCCCTGTCTATAAAGTTCTACTGAGGAAGAGTGATATCCAAACCCTTATAAATAAGGAAACCAAACCACTTAAAAATGGCTTATACTAACTAAATTCCACAAAATCCCTTATTCTTGGTATTGAAAGGATCAGTTACTCAGATCTCCAATTGCCTTTCCTTCCTCAATGAGCAGAATCTTAAGTTCTGTAGATAAGCAAACAAGCCTCTGTTGCTGTCCCCCAGTGCAAAGTGTAGCTCTGCCTCCCCATAATTTTAAAGTGGGGGAAGGGAATTTTTCATACTCTCCTTACAAATGGGTAACACTGTCCTTTCTCAATTCCAGTTGCCCAGTTTCTTCACTCAGCCTGGCTGAAACAATCAGTAAATCCTACAAATGGGAGAAACCGACCCTTCAGCCTAGTAGACTGGAGCTGCAAAAAAATCTGGCAAAATTAAACTTGGATGGATCAAGTATCACTTGGATATTTGGGTTGTCAATTGTCTCTTTAGAAAGTCAGTTCCAAAGGGACAGCGCCTGGAACTTTATTTCAGCTTGGAGACAAGCTTTTTAGCAGGACCTGTTGCATTAGTACAAGACGTAATAGTTTTAAACTGAAGAAGGGTCAATTTAGATTAGATACAAGTAGGATTTTTACAATGCAGATGAGGAAACACTAGAACAAGTTGCCCAGATTGATGGCAGACATCCCATCGCTGGAAACATTCAGGGTGAGAGTCCTGAATAACCTGATCTAGCTGAAGATGGCAATGGGATTGGACTGGATAGCCTTTAAAGATCCCTTTCAACCTTTGTTTGAGCCTATGATTAAGATTCTCTTATGGTTGAAATACCTTTGGCTTGCCTTTGGAAAGAAATCTGTAACCTTAATGCTTGAATCTCCAGGTGACACTCTGTCAGACTCATCTGGGGACCCTCTCTGCAGCTGGTAGAAACTGGACATGCACAACCTGGTTTTTTCCTCTCTAAATTCCCTTAGTTTTATTCATAGGATTTCAGTGTACAGTTAACAGTGCTATTGAAAAAGCTGAATGATGGTGAACATCATGAACTTCCCTATGGCAGAGCAGTGAAGACAACACTAATTAAATGAAACACAGAAATCTTTCTTCTGCTGTTCAGAGCAGAACCAAAGTGCTCTGTTCCTCAAAGAACAGCACCTGCTCATATAAAGTGTCCTTAGAGAAACCAGCAGGAGCTGAATTTAGCAAGCAGTCTTTGTTAAGGTAGAAGATTGTTCCCATTGCACCACTGAGACTTGGGCCAGTTAGAATCCATAAGGTCAAGGATGCTCCTGTCAGATCAACAGTGCTTCTCCTGATGGATTCTGCACCCTTAAACATCTTCAGCTTGGGGAGCTCAAGGTTTCTAAGAGGAGGAATAAGAGTGCTTTGTTAGGCACCTCCTGCAGGAGGAGCTGGACCTGGTTCAATTAAACTCCAAACATGTTCCAACCTTTCATTAAGGGAAAGAACAGCAGAGGCAATAATAGAAAAGCATTTCACAGCAGGGTATCGGATAAGAATAGACTTGCTAAGTTTACATGGCACCTTCCCCAGATGTGCTTTGCTAGCCTGCTGACAGTGCAGCTGACGTGTTCCTGATGCTGCCATCCACATCACTTCCAAACTTGGCTGCACTTTTAGAAGGAAACCCAAGTCACAGTTGCTGGATACAGTGACTGTTGTGACAACACACCCTTATGTAACCCGTAAGAAGCAGATCACGCAGAGGAAACATGGCCAGCTGTGAACACTGAAAGATTTAGATCTGAGGTCACTCATCCTTTCAGATATTTCTGGAACCACCACCCCCTACTGAAGCATTGCTTTTGTTTCCTCAGCTCTGTCTCCTAAGCCATATTTTCATACTCTACACCAGAGCCTGCATGCCTGGACACCACCTTCCTGCACTAAAGCTCTCTTCAGTCTGCAGCACACGCTGTATTATCCTGGCACTACCCTTACAGCAGTGTGGGTACTGCCAGCAGTCATAGCGTCGTCCAATGCCATGGCAGAGGAGTCACTCATAAGCATCCTGCCAGTCTTACAGGCAGGAAGAAACACACTTTGTAAGTAAAGACAGGTTCATTGTTGGTATGCTCGAAATCTTAACTGTGTGATTGAAGAATGATTAGTCTCTATGATTAAAGAAAAAAAAAGAAATTACAGTACAAACCATTCAATAGAAAAGCAGTTATATTTATGAGCTGTTTCTCTTCCTGGGATCTCTGCTATCCAGCAGTGCCCCTTCTCCAATCATCCCATATCATTAGTCCTCTACACACATCCCATACCTCAGTTTTCAAGGCCCCTGCATGTATCCCTCTGTGACATGGCACTAGAGTCAGCAGTATGTTGCTCTACACAGTAAACCAGCTTTAGTTTTAGTAGTTATATAAAAAAAATATGTCTACAACAAGCAACTACAGAATGAGAAACAAGGTAAAACCAAGTCAGACAACAGCCACCGGGACATGAGAAAAGTTTTAACAGCCAAACAAGCCAGAACAAAACTGCAGGCAGGTTAAAAGAAGTTCAGACAAAGCAAGCCTGGCAGGTTCTGGGACCCTGCAGAGCTGGAATGAAGCTTCTGCCATGCTACCAGCCACATGAATCCCATGTTCATTGGACTCTCAGCAGAGATTGGCATCTGGGGACTACATGGGGGACGTCCCAAGTTTTTTTAAAGAAAAATCATTAAGGACAGGTGTTTATCCATAGTCATATGCACACTTAAGTGTCCAATCCTGTAAACCTGAGAAATTGATGAAACTAACCAGGCTTTTCTTTCTGTATTTTCAAACCACTCTGCTCACCCAATTCAGCCTGACAAGATTTTGGTTTTGCAAATACCATTCTTGTCACCTGCAGTCTGATAAAAAAACAACCTGCCTGAGAACCAGATATTTGTATAGGATTCAGAGTGCGACTGCAGGACTTGGCACTTGCCTCTCAGGCAGCATTACACTTTGTTTTGTACTAAAACACAATTACCAGAATATGGAGAACCTCTGGCAAAATCTATCAGCTCTCTAACAGCTACTGCTCACTCTGCACAAAACTACACTTCAAACTTCAGTGAATAACACCTGCAATGCATGCAGGAAAAGGGAGGACGTACAACGCCGCAGGTTGCAATACACTCTTTATAGTTATGCTTATTGAAGTACCCTTATGGGGCAGTTTAAGGAAAAACATATGTGCATTATATAATACAACTGTAAAATACAAAAACTCATTAAAAATTACACATGGTTTAGCTTAAGAATTATGCACTCAGCATTTGGGTATTATCACTAAACCACACTGAATTTTTGGCCACTTTTCACTGTAGAAGTCCCAACCATACCCAAGTCTTCAGGCAATGTGTGCCAATACAACTGTTTAATTATTATAAATGCAACAAATTTAAGTGGCTGTTTTGGAAAGTAAAATGTTGCTGAGGAAAAATAACAGCAAAAGAAGCACTGACCAATGCTCACACAGCACGGAGGTGGACCCTTACAAAGGTATGTGAGAAAAGCATAAAACACTGTCAAGCTCAGCTGTTGGGAGTTGTTCATTTGCATCATCCTTAGCACATCTTCTCTGAATTATTTTGCAACAACATGTATGTGACAGTATTTTTCTTAAAAGCTTATT